CTTCCCTCTCTGTGTAAGCGGGGATGCCCACCTTTTCCTGCCCTCCATCCCTGCTCCTGGTCCTCTAGCTCATTGGACCCCAATCAGGACTCACACCACCTGCTTTCCTGGGCCTCAGCTTACAGGTGTAGGTGTGGGATTTCTCAGCCTCCACAATCATGTGAACCAACCCCTCATTATATATAAAGGTTCTGTTTTTCTGAAGAACCCCAACAGTCACCTCCGACATCACCCAGAGCCATCTGCCCTGCTCTGAGTCGGTCCAGTGCTGTGGAGAGAATTGGCAGCTTCATGTTCTCCAGCCCCTGTGGTCACTGCTCTTGTAAACGCCATAACCTATTTCTCAGACAACTGCTATGAACTCTTGTCATGCTTCCCGGACCCTGCTCGCCCCCTGGCCTCTCTGTCTCAGCAGATAGCTCTTTCTGCTTCTTCGCGGACACCACCAAGCACATAGTCACCTGACCCCTGCCTCTCCCACATGCCTCGTGCTCAATCTCCAGAGTGTGTTGATTCTACCTCCACGGTAGATCTCACACCCATTCATTCCTTCCCATCTCCTTCATTTATAATCTTCCTAGTTCTGACCACAATCACCTCTCACCTGCTCCACTGGAAGAGCCTCATAAAAAAGCTGCCCCTTTCATTCATGCCTCCTCCAGTGGAATCATTTCACCACACAGTGGCCAAAACCGTGTTTTTAAAATGCAGGCTGATCGTGCCATTTCACTGTCAATGCCCTTGATGACTTCCCAATACTCTGAGGAAACATTTTAAAGTCCTTACCCTGACTGAGACCCATTTTTGAGACATTGCCTCTCTGCAGCCTCATTTCCCACTGTTGTTCCTGTGGCTCTCTTCCTTCCCATGGCAAGCTCTTTTCCACCTCAGAGCCTTCTCACACATGTCCCTCCATACCCCCCCCCCCCCACCCCTAGATGCTCCTCTCCACCTGGAAAACTCCTGTTCTTTCGGTTCTCAGCTGAAATGGCACTTCCTCACATGCTGACCCTTCCCCGCCCGGAGTAGATTACATGTCATATGACAGGGCACCCTGTGCATTTTCCTCACATCTATGTGCTTCCTGCCATGTTTCCAGAGCTGGCACAGAACCTGACATGAGGATTCTACCCTCTTGGGAGTGAGCCTCTGGATTGGGTCCACCCAGAGAGTGGGCCGAGGGGAGCGAACTGAGACATGGGCCTTCCTGCTTCCTTACTGCTGCTCTTATTTGTCTTTTCATAACTCTTACCATCATCATGGAGATACATTACCTTAACATTGTTGAAAATAGGCCAACTTAAGGGAAATGTGCTCAGAGGATGCAACTGGTCTCCCTGCCCACCCCATCCTTGTGCCCAATCAGCCACTGCTGTGCTCTGCTCCGCTTAGACTCGTCTTCCCCTCAATGCCAAAGCTCTCGAGAGAATGGTCTCTGTTTGCAGCAGTCGCTTCCTGTCCAGCTATCCACGGATACTTATTCTTTTAATTCACTCATTTTTGAGAAGTTAATACATGTTCATAATATAGTGTTCAAAACGTCCCAGAAGGTACACAATGAAACAACTTCTTTCCATTGTGTCCCCAAGCCCCACCCTGCTCCTCAGAGGCAAGCTGCTACCACCATCCTGGCTTTCTTTCCAGAGAGTGTATGCCCACGCATATCCTTGTTTGTGCTTTGTTTTCTTTTGTTTTCCACAAATGGAGAGGTTTATGCACATTTCCTACCCTTGGCTTTTTTCACTTAACATATCGTAGCGAGTTCTACATGAGTGAATCCAAAGCGGCCTCGTTCTTTTCAATGGCTGCCAAGAACGCTCTGTGGGGATGTACCACGCATGCTCCCTGTGGACATGGAGATGCTGCCACCCTCTGTTCCGGCAGGCATGTGCGAGGACTCTCCCTGCACATCGGATCTCTCCTCCCTGTGAGTGCGTCTGTGGGCTAAGTCCACAGAAATGAAATTGCATTTGCATCTGGAATTAAATTGCTCTCCATAAAAGTTGTACCCATTCCCCCACCACAGCAATGTATGGGAGGGCCTCATTTCCCATCAGACCCTCAACAGATTGTTTTAACGAGTGTTTTTATTTTTGCCAGTCTGGTAGCTGAGAAAGAATACTTTCAATTTGCCTTTCTTTTCATGAATGGGGTCAAGCGTTTTTCTTACGTTTAAGAGTCATTTGAATTTCTCCTGCTGTGCATTGTCTGTTCCTATGTTCTATTACATTGTTGGTCCTCTAAGGATCCCTAAGAACTCTCTGTGCAAGACAATTAGTTCCTTGACTGTGCTATGGGTTGCAAATATTTCAGTCACTCTACAACCCTTTGCAATATGTCTTCTGTGCCAATAAAGCATGCAAAACTGCGGTCCTGGCTCCTGTGCACGCCCAACCCTGAACCCAGCGGCCTTCTTGCTTCCATTTGTCTCAGCATTTGACACTGCTGACCCATTTTCCCAAACTCTCCTTTTTTCTCTCATCATGACTTTGTCCTGGATCATCTCCCAATTCCTCTGTGACTTCCGTTTATCCTTCTGAAATTCCCATGACAAGTGCCATGGGGAAAAGAGATCTTTGAACTCTGCCCTGGCAGTGCCCTGGGCACCATCCCTTACTGAGTCCTCCTGGAGTTCCCAGCACCTTACACCTAGTGGGATGTGCAGACTCGGCTGGTCTGAATCCAAGGCAGGCTCAGGACGTCCCACCCCCTTTCTCCTCCCCTCCCCCCCCTCCCAGTCAGGGATCAGCATGTCTAAAACCAATCTTACGGTATCCACTCTCTCAAAACTGCCCCTCACAACATCCGCATCTCCACTGGATTCCTATGACTGGCCCAATCCTCCTAGGGCTTGAGGGGGAGCAGAATTTGCCACCCCAAAAGATACTATCTTTGGGGACAGTATTTTATTTTATTTTTTTAATATATTTTATTGATTTTTCACAGAGAGGAAGGGAGAGGGATAGAGAGCTAGAAACGTTGATGAGAGAGAAACATCGACCAGCTGCCTCCTGCACACCCCCTACCGGGGATGTGCCCGCAACCAATGTACATGCCCTTGACCAGAATCGAACCTGGGACCCCTCAGTCCGCAGACAGACGCTCTACCACTGAGCCAAACCGGTTTCGGCTGGGGACAGTATTTTAAAACTGGCTGTTTTCAAGAAACAAAGGACTCCAGGAAAATGTTTTACCCTCCCCAGCAGCCTAAAAACATTAGCAAAAAGGCCTGCTCCAGTAAGGGCAATATCGCCATAGATAGCTGTAGTTTAAGATAAACTAAGTGTGGTAGGCAGGGGGAGGAGGGACCTCATAAAGCCATTTTATTTTATTTTATTTTATTTTTTATTTAAGTTTACCTTTATTTTGTTTTTGTTAATCCTTGCCCCAAAATATTTTTCCATTGATCTTTAGGGAGAGTGGGAGAGGGAAAGACAGAGAGGAACATCGATGTGAGAGAAACCCACTGATTGGTTGCCTCCTGCGGGAGCCCTGTCCAGAGCCAGGGGAGGAGCTTCTAATTACGTGCATGCCCTTGACAGGAATCGAACCTGGGACTCTTTGGTCTACAGGCCGATGCCCTATCTGCTGAGCCAAACTGGCTAGGGCCAAGGACCTTTTAATCAAGTCCTCTCTGTGTCCTATTGTACAAGATGGCACAGCAAATGTGTTTACCATTTGATTTTCCCATCTCCATGTGAATTGCCATTTGAAGTCACAAACCACGATATCACACACACACACACACACACACACACACACACACACACACCTCCTTAGCTCCAGATGGCATAGAAGCCTCAACTGTCCCATCTGTTTCCATATTCTTATGGAATCCCCGAATATGCGGACATGTTTTAAAAAGTGCTTATTTTCTCCTGATAATCTTCCTCATTAGATTATTAGTCAATCCAGAAGAACTTAGAAATGTGGGAGCCTAAAACCTCAGTATCCCAGCCTGGTGCCTGCTGAGTCCTGTGGATTCTCCTGTGGAAGGCTTCCCCTCCCCCCACCCCAGGGTCATCCTGCTGGTCACAAGTCCTCCCTCTCACGGGCATCCACCCCCAAGCAACACTTCCTCCTGCTGAGATCCTGCCCACCATCTCCCTCTGCTCAGAAACAGCCCCTCCCATGCACCCCCACCCACCCCACCACCCTCCTTCTCATCAGCAGAGGACTCTGCACGGAGCCAGAAGCCAGACGGAATTAATGAAGCGTGGACCCAAAGGAGGTGCCATGGCCTCCTAGTGTGGCAGATGGCATCTCCTGTTACATCCAAAGGAATATAATATATGGAGTTATTCCTTTGGACATACCAGTGTTTGCAGAAAAGGTTCTGCCACTGTTGTTGGTTTAACTTAGACAATCAACCAGGATGCCCTCTATTCCCGTCTCCCCACTCCTTCCCTCTGCTTGGCCCCACTTTTGCTGCCGCTGTACCGCCCCCTAAGCCGCCTAGAGAAGCTGGTGACCAGGAGCCATCTCTAGGACGTTCTAATAGCAGGGTCCACCCAGCCCTTCCAGGCCAGTGTGAACCTGGCACACCTAGGCCAGCGCCCCTGTCCACCTGCAGGACCCTGCTCTCCCCTCTGTCCTGTCCCAACTGCGCCGCCGGTACAGAGACACAGCCAGGAGCGCCGCGGAGCCCTCGGACGTTTATTTAGGAGATCCTTGGACGGGGAGAAAGAGTCCTGGCAACTTAGCATTTCGTGGCGGCGCACACAGGACTCGGCATCCTGGTCTACGCACCCACCTAACCCCCATCCCCACCCGGGACACATTCTGGTGGTTGTTGGGAGGGGAGGGGGGTCAGTAGACAAGAAGGAGAGAAGGTGTGTCCTGGCTGCAGGGAGAGGAGGGAGGGGAGACGGAGGCTCTGAAGGGGTGGGCCCGCTGGGCTGTCCCTGACGGACGGGGAGTTGAAAAGCCCGCACGTCGGGGCAGCGGGCAGAGCCAGGGCGCGCGCCGGCCTCGCAGGGTCCCCTCCTGTGGCCGCAGCCATGGCGGAGAGCTCGGACAAAGTCCCCATCGCCCTGGTAGGGCCTGACGACGTGGAGTTCTGCAGCCCCCCGGTGAGTCCTGGGGTAGTCCAGGCGCAGGGGAAGGGCGTCTGGGGTTTGTGCCACCGACTGCGGGCGCTGGGAGCGAGGTGGGTGGTGACGCCCCACGAGAGTGGGGACGGGGGCGCGTGTGCAGGGGCCGCCGGGCCCACAGGCAGGTGTGACGGGGAAGTGACAAGGGTGTCCGGGGGGGGGCGTCCTGTGGCCGGCGGCGCGTGCAGATCCACGGGGTGGCGGGTGGCCCTGCACCGCGGAAAGCTGGCTTCTCGAGGGGCATCCACCCCTGAGTGCCAGGGAGGGAGCCCGAGAGGGGGCGCCCCCTGTCCTGGGGGTGGGGGGTGCGGCGCGGGGACCTCCGGGTGCGGGCGGCGCAGATGAGATCCGTCTCCTCCGTCCCGCCCGCAGGCGTACGCCGCGGTGACCGTGAAGCCCGCCGGCCCCGCGCGGCTGCTCAAGGTCGGAGCTGTGGTCCTCATCTCGGGGGCGGTGCTGCTGCTCTTCGGGGCCATCGGGGCCTTTTACTTCTGGAAGGGGAGTGACAACCACGTAAGTCGGGGGCACTTAGCGCAGGACGGGGAGGCGCGCTGGACCCCAAGGCGCGCGGGGCGGTGGGGTCCTCCCTGTGACGCGCCTTTTCCCCGCTAGGTGGCGCCAGAGGCCGGACCCCGCAGGGGGCCACTGGTCCCAGTGTCTGCTTTCCTCTGGCTTCAGGGGCACCTTCTGCCTTCCAACTCCGCTACTCTGCTTTCTGCTCTCAGGACACATTGCAGAAAAGCAAGTCGGGGCCATAAAGGACAATATTAAAATGTACCTACTAGCCCTGACTGGTTTGGCTCAGAGGATAGAGCATCGGCCTGCGGACTGAGAAGTCCCGGGTTCGATTCCGGTCAAGGGCATGTGCCTTGGTTGTAGGCACATCCCCAGTAAAGGGTGGGCAAGAGGCAGCTGATTGATGGTTCTCTCACATCAATGTTTCTATCTCTCTATCCCTCTCCTTTCCTCTCTGTGGAAAATCAATAAAATATTATTCCAGGAAAGCCCCCTGAGGAAGGCTGTGACTTTAAGAACCTGGGACAAAAATAGTGAAGACCTAGTGTTTGGGAACAAATTTGACCTTCCAGGAGTTTTTGTTTGTTTGCTTATTCCTTTGCGTGTGTCCTATTCGGTAATGCACTTTTCCACCCTGCTCTGAGATGTGTGTGTGTGGGGGTGGGGGGGGGGGGTAGATGTGTAACTTCCTTAAAAGTGGCAAATCTCTTTAAAAAATCCATTCTAGCCTACTGGCCTAATCGCGTGTGTTTTAATGGTGACTGTTTCACGGACTGCTGTCCTGCTTTCTTTGCTTGCAACTATTTATTTTAAAGCTCCAGGGCCCTCGAGGATCATAAAAGGTGCTTCTAACTTGGCCGGGCAGAGTTACAGTGTGTTTTCTAAGCAGCCTGAGTTTTGTTCACCTGTGGAAAGGGGGGCATTTTATCTCGATGACCATCGCCAGGGCTGGCAGAAGCTTATCTGGACTGATGGAAAAGAACTCCATCTTCGGGATACACACAAAGGGCGGGTTCTTAATCACTGCCCTCACAGGATCTGTGACTGCTGCTCTCCCCTCTCTCCCACCGTGAAATTCAAAGCGTGAACCAATTCCAGTATTTAGAGAAAATGGTGCTGAAAGCAATTCAACCATTTTATGCATAACATCTTCTGCAGTCACCGCCTAATTTGTATTTTTAACTCAAATGCCTAATGTAGATAAGCATGCCATTTAGCGTGGAGTCTGTTTTAGAGACTATATCAAATTTACCAGCATCGATTTGTGAGATCAGAACTGCACAGTATTTTGTGTATATTTGAAAAGTGCCTTAATGTATTTGTGTTTTAAATATGGAAGCCGGGCCAGATGCTCATATTTGAAAGCAGCAACTGAACATAGGAACGATTTCAATATCTACAACTCCATTAATAGCAGAGTTTAGATTGTCATCCTTTGGGAAGTTGTATGGCATTTGAATGTAGATGCTATCATTTAGATGACAAAGCCTCAATGCTACAGGTCACTTGGGGATAAAAATAGCTTTGGAATTTGTGTGTGTGTGTGTGTGTGTGTGTGTGTGTGTGTGGTTTTATTTTTATTTTTTTATTTTTTGGTAAAGATTTTGGTCATGTGATATATGTAAATGAATATCTTTGGCATTCAAGGCAAACACAGCTAACTGACAAGCTTCTAAAAAGAGAGATTGAAAGATCTTACTGAATAGCTGGACTCCCTTTTTTCATATCTTTTACTTCCTTGCAAGACAGTTGATTATCTGGTTCAAGAGAGCAGTATTAAATTCTAAGAATACAGAGAAATAGTGTATCGTATTTTATTGCCGACAATCAAAGTTATCACTATTTCCTAGACAAGCAGAAAGAAGAACACTGGGGTGGTTTGTTTTGTTTGTTTTTCACTCCCAAAATATTCTATGCTGATCCAGATTACTTAAGTCTGAAAAACAAATCATAAAATACTAAATACAACAAATTTGGCACCATCTATGCCCAGCATATGCACAGGTCTGCTTTCCCTGGATACAAATCTAAGTAGCCCTAACAAAATGTAATAAACAAAGGCAGTTCTCTGTCAAACAGAAAGATACCCCCAACCAAATGGACTATGCAATTCTTGGGGATTATCTCTGCTCTTCTATTTTGTTTTTAATACATATTTTTACTGATTTCAGAGAGAAAGGGAGAGGGAAAGAGAGATAGAAATATCAATGATGAGAGAGAACCATTGATTGGCTGCCTCCTGCACACCCCCAACTAGGGATAAAGCCTGCAACCCAGACATGTTGCCCTGACCAGGGATTGAATCTAGGACCTTCAGTCTGCGGGTCAACTGAGCCAAATTGACTAGAGCTGCTCTTCTGTTTTGACTTAACCAGCTGTAATTCACCTTCTATCCCTTTCATATGGGTAAATCCCAAAAGGACAGGTTTACGTACTTAAAGTCAGCTGGGGGACTATGAAGAATCCAAGTGCTAATAATTGGGGACAAGTTTCTAGGCTCAAATACTAAGACCATGTTTCAGACATAGAACATTATTGTACACAGAACGAGGCATTGATATATGAGCAATTCCCACCTTTATGAGATAGCTGACAATCCTACCCTATGGGATAGGGAGTGAGATCATTGCTGGGGTCTTCCTTCTCGGACCGATTTTTCTAGACATTGTCCTAAACGTTATGTAATTAATCTCAGAGAAGCCAGGCTATATTAGAAACTCATTAGCAAGTATCCTTGGCTGCAAAAGGCACCATATCGAGCAGGATTTTGGCAAATAATAAACTTCATTGTGCTTGGATAGAAATAGCCTTAGGTAATGTGATTACTGTTCCATCAGCCCAGCCTCCTTCTGAGCTCGGGGCCCAGTACTTTGGAAATAATTTCAGACTGTTTACCACCACTGCCCCATAGCCTCAGGGGGCACAGACCTCTCGCTGCCACCCCACGCAGGCTGTGGGCTGCGTATAAAGGATGGACTGGAGCTGCAGGAGAAAGGATGCAATGCCTGTGCTCGGTCAGGACGCCTTTGCTGGGAGGAAGATGACACAGGGGGTCACAAGCCATTCTTCCAGTGTGGAAATCTTGTCTCCTTCAGACCTGCTAAAAGGCGGACATCATTGATTCCTTAAGTTTGGCACTGCTTCCTCAGTGAAGCTTATGGTGCAATGCTTTCTAGAGAAAGAGCCTCATGGTGCCTGAATGAAGGACTCAGTGCCGGCAGGAATGACAGAGCGCTGTCTGCTGCAGTAGCTGCTCAGAGAACACAGGGGCAGAGCGATCTGCTGTCTAAACCTGAAGAAGGCACTGGCTCAGCCAGAGGAAGCAGGTTTCCCAAACGGGGCTGATCGCACAGGCCGGTGGGCTCTGCTCCCGCTGCTCTAAACTAGAACCCCGGGGAAGTGGCTCTCTCCTCGGGCAGCCCGGGGGCCCTGTGCTGCAGGGAGGAGCTCTGTGGTGGAGCTAGAGCACACAGCAGCTTCTGTTCTGAGGAATGAAGGCTGCGGCCTGGAAGGCTACAATCTCTGCATCTGCACTGATAAAATGAAAGCATGGCCTGTGGGTCTTGTAATAATGAGTTCCCCACAAGTCATGATCCAATCACAGCAGATCCTTTCCCTGTGTTTGTTCATGTAGCAGTCATTCTTCACAAGGAGAAACAAAATCAGACTTGAATTGGATCTGAGCTATTTGTGGTAATGACCTACTGACAGTAGCAAATGTCTTTCATCAGTTCTCATCCCTTCCCCCTTTAAAGAATTTATATATTACATCCTATATAATAAAAGCCTAATATGCAAATTGTCCCCTCTGGCGGTCATTCCACTGGGAGTTCAACCACCAGGAGGCAGCACAGAACATGACAAGGCTCTGGAAACAGGTGGCAGTGGAGGCGCTGCTGGCCCTGATGGGCCCCGACAAGAGCCAGATCATGGCAGGATGGTGGAGCAGGTGAGCGGGCAGAGCCAGGCCAAAGCAGGTGCAAGCAGGGGCCCCGGTGCTGCCCAGGTCCTGAGGTCAGCTGGGACCTGTCATACCATGCTAGACGCTCGCACTTCAATCACTGGCCAGGCCTAGGGACAACACAAATGCACGAACTTCGTGCACTGGGCCTCTAGTATCATATAAGAGCTATATTATATATAAAATATACATACATATATATACCTCTAAGTCAGAAAAAGTAAGGAAAGAAGAAAAGAAATCCACTTACTATTCCACAACTCAGAGAACATTCTAGCAGGCAGCCGCACACTGACAGGAATTATTTTTTAAAGTAGAGTACTACCAAGACGTCTAAACCAAAAGAGTCCTTGGAATCATCTAGTTTAGTGGTAAAGTTTTTTTTTTTTTTTCTTAAGATTTTACTCAAAAATCCAATACATAAAACAGAAGCCAAATGGCTCTGCTTAAATTGTAGCTGGGTGGGAAGAAAGGAGACTCACAGTCCCACCTGCTCTGCCACCTTCAGTTCTGGGCCCCACCTCTGAAACCTCGGAGCTTTCAAGTCATAAATGAAAAACCACCTATGAGGTCCAACCTCCTCATTTTACACTCAGGGAGACTCCCAAGACCCAGGGATGGGTGGTGTGGCCACCTGTCTTTCTATAATAATTCCTGGACTAGTGCCCACCTACAGTGCCAAGCCTTTCCCCTCCCCCCACGTGTCTTATAACAAAATGCCCTACAACCCCAATGCCCGCACCACCGAGTCATTGAAATGAGTAACTCCCACTTTGAGCTGAAACAGATGTGCACATTGACCTTGCTCCCTGCAAAGGCTGCTCTATATGAGGCAATCCCAGTCTGGTCTGAAGTCCTTCCTATATATCACATCCCATGCCAAATCTTAACCAAAAGATATTTTTTAAACTTTCAAATTGTGCCTCGGCAGACTTGTTTACTTATTCACTTAATATCCAAGTTAACCCTCTACCTCATCCATTTCCATTTATCCATCAACTCTAGCTGCATAGTGGAATTTCCTTGAGAGAAAGAGAGAGAGAGAGAGAGATGGATCTGTGCCCAAGCCCTAACCCTGTAGATTCTGATTTGACTGGCCTGAAGGAACCACAGGTATAGTAGCTAGAGATTCTACTCAGATGCTTCTACGCAGAGCTAGGATTGTGAATCACTAACCTATCTGAATTAGTATCAAAGACTGTCAAAGGTTTTACTTCTTTTTTTAAAATGTGTTCTCTGTGGGGGGTTTTTTTGTTTGTTTTAATATGAAATTCGCTTCATGAATTTGCATGTCATCCTTGCTTAAGGGCCATGCTAACCTTCTCTGTGTTGTTCCAATCTATATAATGAAGAGCTAATATGCAAATGTTGTCACGCCCTCACACTGTAATGGCTCAGACACTCAAAACTGGGGAGAGAGGAATGGGGACCAGCCAGGCTGCAGCCTGGGAGAGGGACAAGCTGCCCACCGAAGGTCCCTGTGGCCAGCCCAGACAAAGCCAGCCCAGGTCCTGGGTGCCTGCAGCTGGCCAGAGGGAGGGAAGCATGGGTCTGGTATCTATGACTGGCCAGAAGAGAAAATCCTGGGTCCTGGGTTTGGGGCAAGATAGAGGCAGTTAGGGGAGATCAGGCCAGCAGGGGAACAGTTAGAGACAATCAGGCAGGCAGGCAGAGGTGGTTGGGGTGATCAGGCAGTCAGACATCCTCTGAGAGATCCCAGGTTGGAGGGTACAGGCTGTGCTGAGGGAACCCCTCCCCTCTCCCCAGTGCATGAATTTCGTGCACCGGGCATCTAGTTTTAGTATATGTGCTACAGAAGCAAGCACTTTTTAAGGTGTTCTGAAAGAATTCATTGTATTAAATTATTAGAATGTAGGTAAGTTCTCCTATACAAATATGTTACTCTCAAGGATGATTTGGTGTATCTCTGGCAAATGTGAAAGCTACCTCATTTACTGCAGGTCCAGAGATAGTCCCTGAGTTGCTTTAAAAGGAAAGCTCACTAGTCATATATTCACTTCCAGATTTACAATGTGCATTACACCATGAGCATCAATGGGAAATTACAAGATGGGTCAATGGAAATAGATCCTGGGAACAACTTGGAGACCTTTAAGATGGGAAGTGGAGCTGAAGAGGCCATTGAAGTCAATGATTTCCAGAATGTGAGTATAGTTCCTGCACTTTGAGAGTTTGACCAGGCAGCCTGGGGGCTTTGCTCACCCACGGAGAAGCACCTCTCACACACATCCCGTCGGTGACCGGTTCTCGTGGCAGATTCTCTCTGAGAATGGACTGCTCTTTGTTTTTAATCTTTTCAAAATGAAAAAAAAAACAAAAAAAAAAAAAACACTTCGGCATTGAAAAGAACAGTTCTTGGAACTATATGAAGTCTTGGCAGAAACACATACAAGAGCTATTTATTTCCAAGCAGTTATCCATAACACGGTGAATAAAGTACCCACACTATCTGATAGTAGCAAACTCTTTTTCTGAACTTATAGAGAGGATGGAGATTTTAATGACCTAATAACCAAATACCGGTAGAGCCTATCTTATGCTTTTCTCAATTTTGTAGTTTTCCCATTTAATCTAGAAAATTAGCATTTTATGTTTTTCATCATAAATTTTCTGATTACTGCCTATAACAGATAGCACATTCTGGTCTCTTTTGAAAAAGTCAGCCATGTTTGTTTTCAAAAATTCAGCTTACAGGCAATTTGAGACACTGAGCTAAGCGTCGATGCTTCAGTGTCCACCTGCAAACCAGTTTGTCACTGCAGGCTGACTTTTCTGTTTGCTGACATAAATACCCTCTTCTCTTTCACGTTCTAAGATAAGGAAGCACGCCGATATTTGTGCTCTCCTGTTAAACCTGCAGCTGGAATAGGTGAGTCTTCATAATGAAGACTTGAAAAATAATGTTTCTTCTGATCATTTATTGGCCCACAATCATCTCACTCAACAGTCTTCTTCTGATTGATGAGGAAAACTAGAGGTGATTTTTATCGGAATGAAAGAACTCCCCTTGTTGATACCAAAACACATTTCACAGGCCCTTTTGAATACCACACAGATGCCGCATTAGAGCCCTGGTGAGGTTAGGTATTATCTGATAACAGAAGCTCTGGCTGTGCTCAGGCAGCTCGGCCCTGGGACGGCACCGCAGCCCTATGGGCCCAGCTGCACCTCGTCCAGTCAGAGCTTTGCAGTCGGTTCTGGTCAGTGCACAGCGGTAATTTCTCTGGACCTATTAAAGGCTTTTACTGCAAGACACAGAACAAGGTAACAGCATTTTTCTTTCTATTACTCAACATAAAATTATAAAGTGTGACTCCCATACACGCATCATTCAATTCAAAACAAAATTGAATACCTATGATGTACCACAATACCAAGATATGCAAAGGTAGCTACACAGCTGGATAAAAAAGGACCCATCTCTATTAAGAAGTGTATATATTAGCAATAGACTTTTTAAATATTTTAATTTAAAACCTACACTTCTGTTTTCTAATCCTTTGATTCTGATAATGGTACTGATGTGTTTTGTTCTCCTGGGCCAAAAGGGCCAAACATATTTTATAAATTGATCAATTCTGTTGGATAGCTTCCACATTTCTCTAGGTTAGAACTGGTGAGTAGAACATTTTTGTGATGGATAGAACCTCTTCTGGGTTTAAACAAGCCTGGACTTCTTGTTATAGTTAATCCTCACCTGAAGATATTTATTTTTAGAGAGAGTGGAAGGGATGGAGTGGGAGGGTTTGAGAGAGAGAGACGGGACAGAGACATAGATGGGACAGAGACATAGATATGAGAGAAACACATTGATTGGTGATAGACTAAATAGAGAAGGTAGACCGGGGACTGGGATGGCAGGACACACAGGCTTTATTGGAGGGAAGGGTACCCCTGCCTGCTGCTTCCATGGAGAGGAGTGGAAGAGCGAACGAGCAAGGGGCTTACAAGCACCTTTAAGGTAGAGGGCGGGGCTTAGGCACTCAGCACACGCTGATTGATTAGGGACCTAGGGACTTAGGAATGGGGGCTTAGGGTATTAAGCCCTAAGTGCTGATTGGTGGTTCAGAGCTCAGGAATGTCTGGCCGCAGGTGGGGTTTATGTCTGTCCATCAATTGAGGGAAGGGAGGATCTATCAATTGGTTGCCTCCTGTACACACCCAATAAGGGTCAGGGATTGACATTCGTGCCCTTGAATGGGAATCAAACCTGAGACCCTGTGTTGTGTTGGCCAACGCTCTGTTCACTGAGCCACAATAGCCAGGGCAAGCCTGGACTTTTGAAAACACATGAATCCACCACTATGGTAGCTGCATAATTCCCCAATATTTTAAACCAAATTCAAGAAGCATTTATTGGGACCTACTGTGTGCAAGGGATGCAAAGACGACTGACACTTGTTTTCCCTCCCCTCTCCCTCTCCCCCCCCCCCCCCCAAAGACCTTCCAGTCCAGCCCAGGAGGCAGACACCCACACAGAGGTGGCCAGGGAAGCGCACTGACTGAGCATGGAGCAGAGCGCTGTGAGAGTAGAGGGGAGGCAATCACTGCTGATCAGGGGCTGGAGCGGGTTTTACAGAGGGGGTGAAGGTTAGACCAGGTCTCAAAGAATGATTAGGATCTCAGCCAGCAGAAAAGGAGGGGCAGGCCTTTAAGAACCCTGCATGCAAATTCACAGGCCTGCTCTGGAGTTCTATGGAACACAATGTGCTGAAGGTGGGGAGGGTAGGGGAGGGGGTGCAGGTGGGGCCAGGTTGGAAAAGGTTCTGAGTTGTAAGTGAACAGCTTCCCCTGCTCACCCAGGACCCCGCAGGGATTTTAGTAGAACTGGTGGTAAAAAAAAATAAATAAATAAAATAAAAAAGACCTCCTGAGAGAGAACGGCACAGGTTCTGTGCCATTTAAGAAAAAGCAACTCAGAACATTTGTTAGAGAAGGTGAGGCAGGTTTATTCAAGGAGAGCTACTGCTATGGGGTTTCTAGTAGAGGAGAGGGATTGGGCTCAACTCTAAACACAATATAGAAAAGTCAGGTTTACAGCCAGAGGTTGGTAGGTGGAAAATACTAAGAGGTAGAGTAATTCTTCACTAAACTGGCCTAACAGGATTTTCTGCTAAAGGCAGGCCAGGCTGATCAGATATCAAGGGTGCTCAGACCAAGGCTGACCCAGCAGGATTCTGGCAAAAACCGGAATAAGCAGGCCAAGGCAGAGCCCACGGTCAGCTCAGTCACGAGGAGGACTCAGGAGCCTGGCAAGAGCCTGTCGGGAGTCTTCGCCAAGGCCCTGCAAACACAAACGCTGGTTAGTTCATCGCGGGAGAGCTCCCTTCTAGGCAGTGAGGCCCTCGGCAGCATCGGTGCTGTTGGGGTACACCGGTCCTCTCAGGCCTTGTTTCTGTAACAAAGATCTCGGTTAGAAATCAAGACAGAATAAGCATCTATTCTGTGGATAAATATGGTTGTTCGCTATTCATATCCTTTAACTGTATGATATTTGAAATTTTTATTTAAAAAGCTAGCGGAGAATAAAAGATAAACTACCTGCCAGGTTTTACTCAAAAATCATTATGGCCCCCAACGACAAAATAAAGAAATAATAAAATGGAATTCATGTTTTTGTTCTGAGTCGAATCACTGTCACTACCAACAGCTGAAAATGTGTGCTGGCAGATTAAATACCAGGTAATCTTCTCAAACTGTGAACAAAAACACCATTTTCTCTCTGTTTTCACAGTAATTGCATTCCCAGGGAAGCTATTGTACATTAAAACTATGTCAAAAATCACTCTGTGTTAATGTGTAAAACTGTGGCAGGTTCTAGGCACAGACACTTCCAACCAGGTTTCCACCAGGGCCCACGGCGGTCAGTTCTTCAGGCCCTTCTGGGCTGTGCTCGGGGACCAGCCTCCCTGGGCCATGGCCACCAAAGGCCTGGGTTTCTGTAGTGTCCCTTGTGGGTAGGACCCCTGGCCCTCCTTGGGAACTTCCAGTTTAAGCCACAGAAATAGATGAGATCCCCTCGAAAGAAAAAATACGAGACTAATGTGAGATTACCTGACTGTTAGGTCAGCCTGGGCTGGGTGGCTCAGTTAGTTGGAGCGGCATCTGTGTACCAAAAGGTTGCGGGGTTTGATTTCCAGATGGGGCACGTACTGGAAACAAAGGATCAATGTTTCTCACATCAATGTTTCTCTCTCTCTCTCTCTCTCTCTCTCTCTCTCTCTCTTTCTCTCTCTCTCTCATTCTCTCTCTCTCTCTTTCTCTCTCTTTCTCTCTCTCTTTTTCTCTCTCTCCCCCCCTTCCTCTCTCTAAAATCAATAAACTTTATCTCTGGTTGAGGATAAAACAAAGTTAGGTCATTGGACTCTTCATTCATTGTCTTTGTTAGCAAATTTCTTCATTATCACCAGCCTTGTTTGTTTGCAAAAAACAAAGGTTTACTTGGCTTTCTTGTGCTTTTCTGTTCCCTCTGCTTACTGTCTTATTATATCTGGCTGCTTGATAAGGATTTGTAGCTAGACATGTGGTTATTATGTGTGAGTTCCCTCCCACAGAGCCCTCCCTATGGCGTCTCAGTTCTCTCGCCCAGTGCAGACCCTCAGAACTAATTCACTCACTCACAGTCCAGGCTGAGAATCCTTCAGCAGAATCTGCTCTCTCCTTTGGGGACATGCAGCGGCTACATGGTGTTTCATGTGGCCCATCTCACATCCAGGGGACATGAGGGTTTGCAGTTAAGAGGACACATGTGGCAGTTCTCTCCCTCCCCTGCCTTCTGTTTTTCAAACCAGGCACCCCAGATTTCCATGCAGAATAAGAGCAGTAGACCTTCAGGACAGGCCCATGAGAGCAGCCGTTCTGAGTGTGTTCCTTAGGCAGCAGCACCTACGAGCTTGTTAGGAATGCAAAGGTGAGCCCCCCACTCCTGACCGAGTGCCTGATCAGTTCGGGGAGTGGGGCCCAACGCTGTTTCATTTAACAAGGCCTCCTGGTGAGAGGGGGGCCAGGGAAAGTCTGGGATCAACTGGTACAGAAGAAACGGGGATCCAAAGGCTGTGTCCTAGGTCCACTGGGCGACTTCTAAACAGAAAAGGTTTCTCGCAGTTCTGGAGGCTGGGAAGTGCAAGCTTAAGGCACCAGCAGAGTGGGTGTCTAGTGAGGGCCTGGTTCCTGGGTCCTCTTTCTCACTGTGTCCTCAGAGCAGGTCCTTTTATAAGGGCCCGAATCCCACTCAGGAGGGCCTCACCTCCCAAATACATCACCTCCAGATGCCACCACACCTCAGGGGCAAGGTTTCAACATATGAATTTTGGGGTGACATGAACCTCAGTCACTTAAAACTTTAATCCCCTGAACACGTTCCTTCCCCTGGAACAGGTAGTCCGCAGCCTGGCCTGGCCTGGTCAACACGTGGGGAACTTTTAAGCACACCAGGGTCTGGGCACACCCCCGCTAATTCCATGAGCATCTCTGGGGAGAGGCCCAGGCACCGGTGTGTTTAAATTCTCTCCAGGCGCCTTGGGGGCAGTGAGTAGAAAACCTCCAGGGTCAGCCTCTGAAAAGTGGGCATCAGGCCGCCACCTCTGGGTGAGAGGTGACTCTGGGAAAAATGAGGGGTGTGTGTCACATGTGGGTACGTGGCCAATTAGGTCCCAAGGCAAATCCATGAGGAGCCGTAGGAAGCATGAGCTTTTCCTTCTCTGTTCTCAGAGCGCCACCTACCAGCGTCTGTGGGGCCGCTGGCTCTGAGGTTACCCAGGGTGTCACTTTCCATGGAGACGGCTGAATCCTGAGCCAGGATTCTGGATTTCTAAATGCTGATCTTCCCCCCACTCCTTGGCATTGACATTGGAACAGGTTCTCATCTTCTCAACTCAGCAGGATACTGAGAGGAGCAGATTTGGGTTGGCGTCTACATTATTGTGGCAAAAATTTGTAGACCTTTAATGCTGTTCTGGCCACTTGCTAGTGCTGAAGCTGACAGCAGGTGGAAGCCGGCACTCTGGGGACAGCGCTGAGCTGCCCCACGGGCTCCAGGGGAGTCAGCGCTGCTGTCAGCCCATACTGAGCCCGAGGGGAGGTGCCCCCTGAGGCCGGTCCCCAGGCAGGCGAGGAGACACTGTTTCTATCTCACAGGGGACAAAACAAAACACCCGCATCCTTGGGTAAGGACTGGCAGCAAAGCTGAGTTCCTGGGTGTTGTAGAAACCTTTACTATTTACTCTGGGCTTGGTAACTTAGGAGAAATCTGAATTTGTGGAATTAATTCACTGGACCAACATCTTTTGGGAATCTTTGTGAAATTCACCCAAAAGAAAGAGCTAAGATTCAGGTAGCAATCTCAGGAAGCTTATACCTGAGAGGACATTGACAAGGAGCTACCATAGAGGCACTGGCCCTGAGCACCAGGGGAGGGATGAAGACATGGGGTTGAGGGAGGGGGGCAGAAGTCAGAGGCAAAGGAGCCCCCGTAGCCTGCGATGGTGGGAGAGAGCTGCCTAGAAAGGATGGCTTTTCACCTGAGCTTGAGGGAAAGGTGGAGCAATTAACCTACTCCATCTCATAGGAATGCCGCCCCCTGGTGGAGGCCTCCCTGACCCCACTGACAAAAGCCCCATCAGTCACTCCTCTCTCACGCCTGCTTTATTCTCTCCATAGCACTTACCACCTGACTGTCTCCGCTTCGTGTATTTGGTTAAGAATTCTAAGAGTTACGCTCCTTGGGGGCAAAGCTTCCATCGGTTTTGTTCATCCCTACACCCAGTTCCTGGAACAGTGCCTGGCTCTCTATAGATACTCAATACATGGAAGAAACGTGCAGGTGAATAAACGGCTGGCTCAGCTTCTGCTTCCTTTCCTAGGGCATCACCGGAATCCGCTTCGCGGGCGGAGAGAAGTGCTACATCAAAGCGCAGGTGAAGGCGCGCGTCCCCGAGGTGGGCGCCGCGGCCAAGCAGAGCATCGCCTCGGAACTGGTGGGTACCAGCGGCCAGGGCGGCCCGAGGGCTTGGCCCATGTCTGTGAAGGCACGGCCCTTTCTGCCTCCAGGTCCTCGACAGGTTTGAGACCACAATGCAGATTCTAGCTCTTCTCTGCCAAAGGGATTGAACTATGCTAGTCCTCCTGGTTGGTTCTAAGTGGTCGTGCTTACCTGATGTAGCACTTTTAATGGTTTTGGGAAATCGTATTTTAAAGTGCTTAACGGGGATGGTTTCACATGGCCCATATTTGCCTGATGATAGGGAACTATTCAATCAGTGATCAAGAAAACATGTTAGAATCTTCACCCGAGGGGCCTTAGCCCCACCCCCACCCACCCCCACCCCCGAAAATCCCAACAGTTGACGCCCCAGCCTCTTCGGGGAAAGAGCCGGAGGCATCTCGCTGCCTTACCTGCAGGTCAGGCAACTTCCTGGGAGGAGGTTCCAACCGTTTTGAGCTGAGGTGGCCTCCCCCCCACAACTTCTTCCCGTTGGTTCAAGTTCAACCCAATGAAGCTAGGTCAACATGTAATCGAATTTCTTTTCTGTGTGTCAAATTTGTGAGGTTTTTTTAAAAAGACATAACTCCTCTCCCATTTTTTATTAATAGCTTGCCTTTGAGCTTGATTTTATTAACACTTATTTTAAGGATTGCACATTTATTTTAAGAGTTCTAAAGACACATTTAACAATAATAGCCTACATTTATTTAATGCTTTAGGGTTTGCAAAGTGGTCACATTCATTATTGTCTTCCATTTGAGTTGTGGCAGCGTCTGGTGGAACACGAATGGACTTTGGCGCCAGAAACAGTAGGTTCACATCCAGCCCTGGCACGCTGTGGCTGTGGCTTCACCTCTGGGAGCCTGTTAGTCATCAACAAACTAGGGGTACCCATACCGCCCCACCACCCTAGAAGTACCGTGGACGGCAAATTCATTAGTCAACAGATCCAAATATCAACAGTACAACGATTGAAATTTCTTTTGAGAGCCAAATTTTTTAAACTTCAACTCCTTCTAGTGCCACTTCTTCAAAATAGACTCGCCCAGGCATGGTATTTTGTGGAAGAGCCACACTCAAGGGGCCAAAGAGCCACATGCAGCTCGCGAGCCACAGTTTGCCGGCCACGGTACTAGATAATGAATAGGTGGCTGCTGCGATGATTGTTAATTTTATTATGATTACCTTTGGTCCTCCCAGTCTCCCTGAGAGGGAGAAGCCAGCACCAGCTCCCTCAGGCAAAAGAGGAAAAACAAGGGTAAGAAGTGCCTGGAGACTGGCCGGCTGTTGCCCTCCGAGGAGCAGCAGCGGAAGGTATCTCAGACCACAGAACAAAACAAAAGCGCAAAACAAACCAGAGAGGTGTAAAGCTCGTTAGTGTGTCCTCCAGTTTCTCTCCTACTCCCAGTTTCCCCAGCCATTCGTCCTGTGAGGTGGTGCCGGGCCTTCATGGCTCAGTCCCTCCCTCCAAGCTGCCTCCATGTGCCCTCAGGAGCCCTGCCTCCCATTGCAAACTCCCAGTGCCACCAAGACCTTATTCTGCCCTTGAACTTCTCTTACTGCACTGCTGTTCTCTGTTAGAAAGCCTGTGGTGACTCTAATCCTTGGCAGCATCCCCAGGAGACATGGAACCCATGCCTTCCACAAGCACCAGACCCCCAGCTGTACGTTTGTGGTACATATTCTGGGTTTTTTAAAAACAATTTTTGAAAACCAAGATGGCGGCATAGGTAAACAATTGTACTTGCTGCCTCCCACAACCATATCAAAATTATAATCAAAAGACTGAACAACTATCATCCAGAACCACGGGAAATCTGGCTGAGTGGAAGTACCACAACTAGAGAGGTGAAGAAGAAAGTGCATTGAGGCTGGTAGGAGGTGCAGAGGTGCAGAATGGGCTGACACCCAGGTGTCCTGCTTTTTTAACCGGGAGGGAGATACAAGCTCCCACTTGCTCTGAGCTCCAGTGCCAGGTGAGACTCTGGGGGACCCAGACACATACAGGAAGAAACTGGACGGTCTGGTAATGGGGCAGGAACACAGGGGTGGCTTTCTTCCAGACAGAGGTGCTCGCAGTGGTCATTATTCCTGTGCGGGCACCTCCCCAGTGCAGGGCTGACTGGCAGCCACTGCTGTTTGCTCCTCCCTGGAGTTTCCCTGAGACTCCGCCTAACCCAATTTATATCCCCACCCAAGCTGTGTATAAAGGCTTTTGTAAATGAATGGCCTGTCCTTTCTCAGTCTAAAACCTGTCAAACAAGCTGCAGCTGGATAAAAAAAAGCCCCAAAACTATCAATAAAAGGCCCAAAATCCAGCACCAGCACCAGCAGCAACACCAGCCTGCCTTGCTTCACATCTGGGCCTTGTCTGGGCACTTCCAAACCCCATACAAAGAGGAGGAATCTGCAGATCTCTCTGTAGCTCTTTCTGGGAGGCCCCAGGCAGTGGCTGACTTTGTACCTCCCTGGAGACCCAATTGCCAGTGTACCCTGTGGTCAGTGTGAGACCATACCAGTTTACAAATCTTCACATCAATAAGAGACACACTCAAGGGGCAGACTCAGTGAGCACCCAAGCCCCACTGAAGCAAATCCTGCCACATAAGGGTTTCTCCTTTACAACAGCTCTTCCATTGTAGACAAAGCTGGTCCCCACAGCCAAATGGCCTGGAGATCAATTCCTCCCAGTGATACCAACAGCAATCAAGTCTCAACTACAACAAGACTGTGCACATAGCCCACAAGGGGGTGCACCAAGAGTGTCCACAACAGGTGGTTGGGGAAGCTGAGCCACTGGGCCCTATAGGACACCTACTACACAAGGCCACTCTATCAACTATCAAAGAGACTTAGCAGCTACCCAATACATAGAAACAAACACAGGGAAGCAGCCAAAATAAGAAGACAAAGAAACATGTCACAATGGAAAGAGATGTAAGAAAGCAAACTACTGGTTATAGAGTTCAAAACCTATAAGGTTATAAGGTTACTCAAGAATCTCTATAAACCTCCGAGGAACTTAATGAGACCTTCAGGGATCTTAGTGAGAATGCCAAAAAACGGGAAAGGGCCAGTCATAAATTAAGAATACCCTGACTGAAATAAAGAATAATACACAGTGATTCAACAGCAGACTAGAGGATCCTAAGGATCAAGTCAAAGATTTGAAATATGAAGAAGCAAAAAACACCCAAACAGAAGAGCAAAAAGAAAAAAAGAAGAAAAAAAAAACCAAGTAAGCCCTAACTGGTTTGGCTCAGTGGATAGAGCATTGGCCTGCCAACTGAAGGGTCCCAGGTTTGATTCCGGTCAAAGGCATGTTCCTTGGCTGTGGGCACATCTAGCACCAGCACCAGCCCTCTGAGGGAGTGTGCAGGAGGCAGCTGATCAATGTTTCTCTCTCATCAATGTTTCTGATTCTCTATCCTTCTCCCTTCCTCTCTGTAAAAAAATCAATAAAATATATTTTTTTAAAAATATGAAGATAGTGTACCAACATTTGAATTATGGGGGTGCCAGAAGAAGAGAGAGATCAAGATATTTAAAACCTACTTGAAGAAATAATGACAAGAAACTTCCCCCACCTAGTGAAAGAAATAGACTTACAAGTCCAGGAAGCTCACAGAACCCCAAACAAGAGGAATACAAAGAGGACCACACCAAGACACTTCATAATTAAAATGCCAAGAGCAAAAGACAAAGAGAGAATCTTAAAAGCAGCAAGAGAAAAACAATTAGTTACCTACAAGGGAGTATGCATACAATTGTCAGCTGATTTCTCAACAGAAACTATGCAGGCCAGAAGGGAGTGGCAAGAAATATTCAAAGTGATGAATTGCAAGGGCCTACAACCAAGGTTACTCTACCCAGCAAAGCTATCATTTAGAATTGAAGATCAGATATAGTGCTACACAGACAAGAAAAAGCTAAAGGAGTTCATCACCTCCAAACCAGTATTTATATGAAAGGTTGAAGGGTATTCTTGAAGAAGAGGAAGAAGAAGAAAAAGATAAAGATAAAAAAATTATGAACAACAAAGTGACAACAAATACATATCAATCAACAAGTGAATTTGAGAATCAAATGAATAAAAAATTAGATGAATAGAATAAACTGGTGAATGTAATAGAACTAGGGGCATAGAAATGGAGCTGACTGACAATTCTCAAGGGAAGGGCATGTGGGGGTGCAGGAAAAGACTGGACAAAGATCTTATATGCATGTATGCAGTACCTATGGATGTAGACAGTGGGGAGGGGGGGCACACAAGGGCCTGGGGTGGGATGGGAACTGGATGCAAGGGAGATATGGGGGAGAAAAACAGAAACACCTATAATAATCTGAACAATATGCCAAAACCAGTTTGGCTCAGTGGTAGAGCCTCGGTCTGAAAGGTCCCAGGTTTGATTCTGGTCAAGGGCATGTACATTGGTCCCGGTAGGGGATGTGCAGGAGGCAGCTGGTCGATGTTTCTCTCTCATTGATGTTTCTAACTTTCTCTCCCTCTCCCTTCCTCTCTGTAAAAAAAATCAATAAAATATATTTAAAAAATAATAATAATCTGAACAATAAAGTTTAAAAAATAATAATAAAATTAAAAAATAAAAACAATTTTTTTCTATTTTTAAAAAACAGTACTTTGGCCCTGGCTGATATGAGTCAGTTGGCTGGGCATTGTCCTATACAATGACAGGGTGCTGGTTCAATTCCCAGCCAGCGCACAGCTGTGGGCTCGATCCCTGGTGGGGGGTGTGCAGGAGGCAGTAGATCAATGTTTTGCTATCATGTTGCTGTTTCTCTCTCCCTCTCCCTTCCTCTCTTTAAAAATCAATAAAAAAAAGTTTGTTTTTTTAACTCACATTTAAAAACAAACAAACAAAAAAATAAAAGTACTTAATCATTATAGAAAATTTGGGAAGTACATAAAAGAACAAAGAAAATCACCCACAATTGCATAATCCAGATAACTAATGTTCACATTTTTGCTGAATTTTCTTCATCTGAGTGATATTCTTTTCATAATTGAATTTTTGTGCTGTTGTACATTCTTTTTATTTTCACTCTCAACTTTAGTCCTTCTAAAATGTAGATTAGAATGGATGTATTATATGTCATCATCTATATATATAAAAGGCTAACTGTCCATCCACCAACTGTCTATCCATCCAACCATCCAACCAGCCAATACATATAATACGCACTGGCAATCCTATATAATAAAAGCATAATATGCTAAGTGTCCGACTGTTCATTCAACCGTTCAACCAATCATTATGACATTCATTGACCACCAGGAGGCAGATGCTTCAACCAGTAGGTTAGCTTGCTGCTGGGGTCCAGCAGATTAGGACTGGGCGAGATAGGCTGGACATGCCCTGAAATCTTCCCAAAGTCTCTCCCTGGCCCCAATTGTGCACCCAATCAGGGTCCCTCAGCCTGGCCTGCACCCTCTCACAATCCAGGACCCCGCATGGGATGTTGGAAAGTTGGTTTCAGCCCCATCCCCACAGGCCAGGCCAAGGGACCCCACCAGTGCACGAATCCATGCACCGAGCCTCTAGTTTAAAAATAAATGTTAACTCATGTATGTGTGATACATATAAAGCTCCTGCTGGTACCAATCACACACATGTTTTAATTTTACAATACTACTAGAGGCCCGGTGCACAAAATTCGTGCATGGGGTTGGAGGATGTCCCTCAGCCCAGCCTGCACCTTCTCAAATCTGGGACCCCTCGAGGGATGTTCAACTGCCCATTTAGACCTGATCCCACCGGGTCTAAATGGGCAATTGAACACTCCTCTCACAATCCAGGACAGCTGGCTCCCAACTGCTCGCCTGCCTGCCTTCCTGATTGCCCCAACCCACTTCTGCCTGCCATCCTGATCTCCCCCTAACCACTCCCATGCCACCCTGATTGATGTCTAACTGCTCCCCTGCCAGCCTGTTTGCCCCCAATTTCCTCCTCTGCCAGCCTGGTCACACCTAACTGCCCTCTCCTACAGGGTTTATTGCCTCCAACTGCCCTCCCTTGCAGACCTGATCTCTCTCAACTGCCCTCCCTTGCAGGCCTGGTGCCTCCCAACTGCCCTCCCCTGCTGGCCATCTTGTGGTGGCTATCTTGTGTCCACATGGGGGCAGAATCTTTGACCACATGAGGGCAGCCATATTGTGTGTCAATCTGCATCACTCCAGTGATGGTCAATCTGCATATTACTCTTTTATTAGATAGGATATTATATATACTATTTTTGCAGTAATGTAATTACTGCATGATAATTAATTTCCTTTCAATGTGCACGAATCTGTGCACTGGGCCACTAGTCTGATTATAATTTTAAAAGTCGTTTGTTCAGCTATCTTCAATTTTAACCAATTAAAATAATAATTCAAAATTACTTTTTGAATATATAATTCACTGTGATGAATAGTTTGTCTTTAAATATTGTCTGCATCTGATTTTCTTCTCAGGCCATAGAATTGAATTATTTTTCTTGTGTTTGATTTGTTTATATGAGTGTGGTGGATCCTCTGAGGCACAAAACCAAATTCAGGCAATATGTTCGTGTGACTCAGGAATGTGTTTGGCTGTCACTAACAGAAAACGACACGTAGAGTAACTGAAAGAAATAGGATCAGTTTGCTCCATAGTAAGCCATGTGGAGGCTCAGGGACCAGCATCTCTGACTATTTCGGCCTTTCCTTCCAGCTCCAAACATCAGTCACACATTCAAGTAAGAACGTCAGGGGAAGCTGAGCAGCCCCAGCACCCTCCGGCGTGGACCTCATAGTCTAGAACAGCCCGCAAGGCGCCAGCAGCTTCTCCTAAATCTGGAGGGCCCGAGGAAGCAAGAGTCTCTCCTGGGATCAGCCCACTGCCGCCTCCAGCAAAGCAGATTGTGCTGCCAGGAAAGGGAGGGAGAAGGAGACTGGGGAGGCAGCTGTGCCACGGGCTTGCAGGATGCATCTATATGCACTGTCCCTTCACTCCCCTCCTCCCCCACACACTTTCGATTATGATGGGGTAGATGTATGTACCACTTGCTCTTATAAATTTTTCATCAGTTTTGTGTAACTTTAAAAAGCTATTACACCCACAGAGCATTCATTTCCTGGATGGAGCCATTTAATTTAAGGTAAATAACTAGATTACCTGGGAGCCGCTTCCTCTAATAATTCTGAGTTATTCTAATGCAGCCATAAGCCTGGGGGAGAAAGCATAAACCAAGGGCTGCGTTCGGCTCAAAATAAAGAGAAAACATTTTAATTTCTCCAAACTACTGCAAACTAATAAATACATGAAAGGAATAACCAGGCAAAATAAATTGGTCTCCTGGGTTATCAAACCTCTCTCAGCATCGCACTGAGGTGGAAACAGGGGCCCAGCTTTGAAACCTCCGTGGTGTGCTCGCTGTGTAGAACATCTGAAATGTGTTTTGTTGGAGCTGGGGAAGGGAGAAATGGTTTATGTTAAATAACACTTTGAACTGATGACATTAAAGAACCAATCGCTTGCTTTTTCCATTGTTGTTCAGTACAAAACCCCAAAGAATTCTCACTCCAAATGGAGCGTCCCTCAATCCTTTGTAGGATTCCAGGGCCATTCAATTGCTTTTCCTCAAAAACATCTTTGATCAAAAACATCAGATTAACCCAAAGCTCAAAGCTGGTATCAAGTAATTTTCACTTCTACTCAGGATACTATATTCACACATTCCAGCTTCCAAAGGCAGGCTGGCGATGCGTGGGCAGGTGCTGAATATTGTGGAGAGAGCTACAAAGAGGAGAGATTAGAACCTTAAGGTGTGTGTGTGTGGGGTGGAGGGTGGGGGCGGAGGCTGGGGGAGCTGGGGGGGACGAGGGAGAGCAGGCAGGCAGGCATACACATACACCCAGAATTCTCGTTAAGTTTTTACAAAGCCGAATAATCTTTTACCCACCCGTGAATCTTAATACCCAGCATGCTCCACTGCCATCTCACTCAATGCATTTCATTTTCACTTACTTACAGGAAGGCAAGATCATGCCAGTTAAGTATGAAGAAAGTTCTCTCGTCTGGGTGGCTGTGGGCCAGCCCGTGAAGGACAGCAGCTTCCTGAGTGCCAAAGTCATAGAACTCTGCGGAGAACTCCCTATTTTCTGGCTTAAACCAACTTACCCAAAAGGTAACATTTTCGAGTCTCTTAATGCTGCGTGAAAGGCTGCCTGTCCTGTGAGGTCCCTGGGAGCCCCCCACGGGCTGAGCTGTGGCGGGAAGGGGATCAGGTGTACGGGCAGGTCTCGGTCATTGGCCCCAGAGCGCGGAGAGAAGGAAGGGCCGCCCTGAGGTGGCAGAGAGGCCTGCAGCGGGATTAGCAGGAAGCGACCAGGAGTCTCAGCAGCTGCACGGCCTGGTCTCTGTGACACTCCCACGTCTTTCCACTCTGCCCCATCTCAGATGTTTGCACTTTACAATTTTACATTTTTCCCCCTAAGGCATAGAATCCAGGGACTGAGACGCTGACTCTTTATTATGTTCAAACCTAGAATTATGGGACGGCCAGATGCAGCTGTGGGCAGAGGTTGAGATTCTTTAAGTTCGGGGCTCAGACATCAGCCTCCAGGTTCTGTGAAAATAAATGAAGGGTCGGGGGTTCCGAGTAAGGTTGGAGCACACCTTGCAGCCATTTCTGGGTGGAGAAGGGTAGGTGAGCCCCAGGCCGGGCTTGGTCCCCTGCATTCCGGTCCCCAGGGCTGTCCTCACTCTTTGATTTCCACCACAGTCACCCACTCTGGCCCTCCAAAGGCTGTCTCTGTAGCTCTTTCTTCTAGCACAGCTGAGATAGGTATGTTTTCTAAAAGATTTTACTGAACATCAAGATAAAGCAGCATGGGAATAATAATGAAAAAATACAGGCATTGAAACCAGGCTTGGGGGTGAAATGGGCAGTTATTGTTAACGCATGCAGAGTTTCAGTTTTGCAAAATGAAAACTGTTCTGGAGATAGATGGCTGCATAGCAATGTAAATATACTTTATGCCACTGAACTTTACCCTGAAAAATGGTTTAAATGGTAAATTTTATGTATATTTTACCACAATTTATTTTTTAAAACCTTGCCAAGGATTAGAAAATCCAGACTTCTGATTCTGCCGTGGCTGACTTATTCCTACAATTCACAAATCTCATTCTGTCCCAGAGCTTGGCAAATAGGATTCAATTTATGCGTCAGTGGCCATGGCTGCCTGGAAGAGTGGGTTAAGGACCTTGCGGCCACAGGCAGGCTCGGTAAGAAAGAGCACCATGAGCAGTGTTCGTCACACTCTTGGGGGCTGGAGAGGGCTGCCAGGTGGACAGCTGCTTTTGTCCTCCTGCTCTTGCCTGGTGCATGAAACTGAGACTTAGAGAGATACCAAATTCATGCACTGGAGGGGGTACCTCAACCCAGCCTGCCCTCTCTCACAGTCTGGGAGCCCTCCGGGGTGGGAGGCAACCCAGCGATCAGGGGAAGGCAACACCCCCTTCACAACTCTGCTGCTGCCACTGCCAGCAGCGTAAGCTTCAGCCAAGCCTGGCTGGCTGAGCCTCTGGCAGCCCTGGGCAGCTGGGCAGCCATCATCTGAGGCTTGTCTGTGCTTCGTGTTGGCCCTGTGTCTGCTGCCCTGGTGGGGCTGAGGGGACTGGGTGCCGCCATCTTTGAGGGTGAGGCAGTCAATTAGCATATTCTCTCCTTATTGGTTGTGGGTGCCGTCTTTTTCAATGGCATGAGGGTCAATTAGCTTATCCCCTCCTTATTAGATAGGATAGTCACTCCATTATGAATGCATTGGGCTGTAGGTAATGGAATGGAATGGGCTGTAGGACCAGCAGTAGTTTCAGCAAGTACACATGGAATGTTTTTCATATAGCCAGAAGTCTGGAGATACGTTCTGGCATTACCAGCTACTCAGTGATGTTATCACACCTCTTTCTAGCTTAGCATTTTTCTTCCCATGGCACGCTGCTCATCATCCTGTGCCTGTCACCTCTGGACACAGGTCGGCTCCCTTACCCTGAACATCACATCTACAGTCAAGAAAGGAAGACAAGACATAGGAGGCTGTATCTGTCCCCTTTTAACCAAGAAAGCAAAAGCTTTCCCAGAATTGCACTAGCATATTCTGCTTCTGTTTCACTGGCCAGTAATCTGGGCACTTCTCATTACCAGGCAAGGCTCGGTAAATGAGTGGTATTTTACGTTTTTAGCTCCTATTGTAGAGGCAGGCAAAGAAAACAGGGGATTGTGGGCGGATTTTGTCAGCTATCTTACAATATCTACCTCAGGTAGTATTGCAAAATCAAATTTTAGCTACCTGTATGTTTAACTACTAACTCAAGATTAAAACCTGCTTTATCATTACAAAAATCATCAGTACAAATTTATGTGGTGTGTAGGTGTGTCTGTGTTTGGGTGTCCTTTTTCTGTTTTTCATTCTGATAAACACAGGCCTTCCTTAATTATTCAAGTAATGGAACTAACTTGCATTTTCATTCATTCAATATTTGCAGAAACTCAGAGGGAAAGAAGAGAATTGGTAACACAAACTGTTACAATCACCACCAGAAGACCACGCAGTGGACCACGGGGCAACCCAGGCCCTGGAAGACTGAGTAACAAAACCAGACCCAGCGTGCAGGACGACTCAGAGCCCTTCAACCCCGACAACCCCTACCACGTGCGTACACTGCTCGTGCCACATGCTCAGATGAATGCGTTAAACCTAACACTGGAGTGTAGCGTTCCTAGAGGTTTCAAACAAGCATCTAGTATCCAACTGAGACTTTTACTCAATATTGTAAAAGTGCGTCTTCATTTGCTTGTTGCTGGGCTGATGAATGCGGTGAGAACAGGTTGAGCCTCTGTGGTGCGAGCCTGGCTGGCTGCAACCCCATTCAAGCTGCTTTCCGTGCTTTCCTGTTCTTGAGTCACAAGCAAATCCACAAGACAAAGTCATACCAGAAATTTATGTTAAAATGTTCCCTGGGGGCAGCACACAGAAGGAAAGTATTCTTTCCCCACTTTACACCCACTGTATTCACCCTTTCAGCAGACACCTGTTGAGGACGTGCTTAGCAGGCTCCGTGCACACGGGCAGGCAGGACCTTCTGCCCGGGGACTCTCAGCCCACTCTGCAGGCAGGCCGGGGCACAGATAAAGCACTTTAGAATCGGTGCTTGGAAGGATGGTGTTTGAAAGGATGATACCAACATGCTAGAAACTTACCAAATCTTCCACAAAATATTATCTATTAGGACTGCACTTTGCAGGAAGTAGAAAAATAAGTATTTATTCTAACTAGTTTTAATTGAAAAAATAATACATGCATATACTTTTTAAAAACAGTATACAAGGGTATACCTTGAACAGTGAGTTTCCCTTCCATATCAGACACCCTTCCCAGAACCTATTATATTAACAATAGCGACTTGCCCTGTTTCTTTGCCTAAGTACACACACACACACACTTGAACACAAGAGCATATAAAACTCCTGTACTTTGCTTTCCAATTACAATGTCATTTTGAAGATTGTTCTCTCCTATATAGACTACCTCCTCCATTTTAATGTCCACATTGTGTTACTTTGTGTGGACAGATGTACAACTTCACTAGTTCTACTTTGGTGGACATGTAAATTATTTTACTTTTGCGTTAGAAAAGCTGTTAATAGTGCCCCGTCTTGCACACACGTGCCTAATACGCTGTGGGAAGGTGAATGAGGTGCAGCTCCGGCTCCACACACTGCTTGCCATACGGTACCCATTAAACTGGTCTGATTTAGCTATCAGTCTACTGCCCACTGTACACAAGGGAATATATCTTTAAAATAAATACTGACTCTTGGGTCTGCTGAATCAATGTAGATAGGAATTTTATATTTTAATAGAGGATATCAATCATATTGCCTTCCAAGAAATTATACTAGCTACATGTGTTCAAATGGTAATAAAAGGCCTCTATTATCAAACGTAAAAAGGATCTTGACCAGTTTTGGGGGGTATAAAATTTATCTACCTGTTTTATCATGCCTGCCTTTAATTATATGCAAGATCGAGCATCTTTTCGTAAACAGATAAGCCATTTGTGTGTGCTTTTCCTAAGCAACCTCTTCAGGCCTATTCATGTGCTGCAGATACATTTTCTAATTTATCATTTTAGACTAATACATTCTCCAAAGACTTAGAGTAAAAAGTATTTTTAAATAGCTCAAGGCTTATCAGAAAATTCAGGACACCACAGTACTTCATTCCCTAAAACTCAAATAAAAAGGAAATAAAATCTGAATCAGCAAACAGAAAATTTAATAGTTTATTCCCCAGACAGCTGATTAGATGAATCTGGTTCAAGGGGTAAGGGCATCAGCCCCTTGACAGGTGGGGAGGACTGTCTACCTGGCTTCCAGGCTTGACTGTCCATATTCTTTTAAAAACTACATCAGTTTTTCCCTTTGCTTTGTGTTCACTTTTAAGCAGACGACTCGCCAGGATCTCAGTCCTCCACATATTTTTTTAGGGTATCTTAGAGCAACAACCTGAGATTCCCTAGCAACATTTTAATCTAACAAGGCTTTGCTGAACCCTCAAGATTAAAAAATGTCTCAAACATCAGGCTTTTTGCCTCCCTGCCCTACAAGAGTCAGCTACAATTAATGAGATGGGTTCCTTCTTTTTTTTTCTTTTTCTTTTTTTATCCTAGATATACCTATTTCAAGAGATAAGCCAAAATGGGTGAGGGAGGAATCTGAAAAATGAAAGTATGAGAGGAAGACAAATATTTTGATGACAAAAACTTAACAGGAATGTTAATTTTGTTAGGTGTGATAAAGGCAGTGTGGTTGTGTAGAAAAATATTCTCTTATTTGGGAAGTAACATTCTAATGTATTTATGGGTCAAATATAACAATACTAAAATGAATTTTAAAGGTTGGGGGAGGAAACAAGCAAATTTAACAAGAAGCTGGCAATTGTCAAATCTAGATGTTCAGTATACAATTTTCTTCACTTCCAGTATGTTTGAATCTTTCATAATAAAAACCGCCATCTCCCTCCAAAAAAATTTTGAGTACACTTGTTATGCCAGAACAGGTGGCAGGGTGCTGAGTGCTCAAGCCTGTATGGTGCTGCATCTGCCATGTTCACCAACCTCCAGGAAAGAGGCTCCAATTGAACAAAGGATTTACTTTAACAATAAGAGCTTCTGAGCAATGAAATTCAATGCCATATTAAAGAGGACACAGAAACTATACCCCTAGATAGCCATAAAAAGGAAAGCCAGATACGTAAATTTGGCAGGGGGACAAGTTCCTTCCAGCACTGTACTCTCCAGTGGCGAGAAAACGCTGTTTTGTAGGTAATTCTTACTTCATCAATATAACTTTATTTCAGTAACTAATTATGGCACACAGGAACGACCAAGGCAGTTTAAGGTCTGGAATTTCACACATTATGTGGCGCCTTTCCCTGGGTGTTACACACCCTTATGCTGACGTAAAGGCAGGAGCTAAATGACTCCAGTGTTCTCAGCCATTGCAATGGGAACACGGGGACACCATGTTGGCCTGTCAGTGAGTACCCAAGTGTGCGCCCGGGAGGTCTGGAAGCCATCACTACAGGAAGGACGAGCTCCTGCTGACTTAAATTAACAGTGGCAGGCATGCAACTGGTGAATTGTGACTCCTTTCCGTTTGCCTATTTAAAACAAGATGAGTCCCTACTGAGTGGTTAGCATGGCTCATTAAAGCATGGGGAAACTTCATCAATATTTACAAAAAAAAAACACCTTCCTGCAGGGACAGATTAGGCAGGTAAAGTTCCTGGATGTTAGAAGAAATTCTGAACTATAAGGTTATGACTGAAAACTCCTTACAGAAAATTATGCTGATTTCTTTCTTATTTAGTTTTTCTTTTATGCTGATTTCTTATAGCAAAGAACATTCAGGATCTTTTTTTTTTTTTTTAAATGTGTAACAACTTCTCATTACAAAGAATTCTTTTATTTCACAGCAGCAGGAAGGGGAAGGCGTCATGACGTTCGACCCTAGACTGGACCACGAAGGAATCTGCTGCATAGAATGCAGGCGGAGCTACACCCATTGCCAGAAGATCTGTGAGCCCCTGGGAGGCTTCCAGCCATGGCCCTACAATTACCAGGGCTGCCGGTCAGCCTGCAGAGTCATCATGCCATGTAGCTGGTGGGTGGCCCGCATCTTGGGCATGGTGTGAAGTCACTTCATATACCAGGTGCTGTAAAGGAAGAAGTAACTCAAGAAACAACCAAAGTATGAAAGAAAACTCTTAATGCTGAAGGGACCACAAAGTATTTTATACTCAATCTGAGTAATGTTCTTTGAAATACTGTTAGCAGAATATTTCTCCATTGCTTTACAGAACTTTATCCAGAATGTGCAAATGTACTGAAAGAGTAGACTAAAATGTCATAATAATTCCTCTTATTACTTGCTATTTTTTATTTGCTTTGCCCATAAGGCCTGCTCATAAGATTTCCTTCCCAAGCCATTTTGAAATAAACATGAAAATTTACAATTTGTCAAAGTTCTCATGTACACTTGAGATCTTTTTAATCAAGTCACTAAGTTTTCTGTTATTTGTATAGAATTTCTCAATTGTTCTTAGCCTTTACTGTTCTTCCCAGTCTTGCAAATGTGCTCCGAAGAGTCCCCAGAAAAAAAACACAAACAAGCCCGGGCCAGTGTGGCTCCGTTGTCCAGTGCCCTGAAAGGCCTACAGTTCCATTCCCATCAGGGCACATGCCTGGGTTGTGGGCTGAATCACTGATCAGATGCCAGCTGGAGGCAGCCAATCGATGTTCCTCTCTCTCTTCCTCTCCCTTCGTCTCTCTAAAATCAATGGAGCATTAAAAAAACAAACCACAAAGAAGGAAAACAGAATAATGGAATTTACCTGAAAGTAAACATAAACCTCAATGTGGTAGCTCATGGGAAATTCTTCAGCTGGCAAGTGACTAACAGGTAGCTGCCCTATGTTAGGAGTCACTTCCCAGAAAAGCATTAGGCTAACAAGGGGAAATGCAGCCAGAGATAAGTCAGACTTGGGAAGAGGACTTTCATTGACATTCTGAAGAGAGATCTTCACACTCTTTTCAATAAGTGCTCACTGGCATGAAGAAGCGTAATGATTCCTTCCTCTGGAATACAAATCAGGCTGTTGATGTAGTTCAATTACCAATTAGTTACTCTCCTTAGCAATAGGGCTGGCTGCAGCCTGGCAGAGACAGCTGAGGAAGAGTAGCCTATTTATTTATAATGACATACAGTCTCTCAGGAACACTGACAAAAAACAAGGGCTGTCTTTAGAAAATGAAATATTCACATCAGGAAGAGAAGCAGGTATTTCATATTTTTGACATATTAGTTCTGAATCCCACAATCTGAGAGATAAAGAACTTTCTTAAGGAAAATGAGTTTTCCAAAACAAGGATTCAGAGAGATGATAGGTCTTAATACCATGATCTTATTATAGTCTCATATTCTAAATACATCTTAGTAGTACACATTTAGTATTTTCCAATTTGTATGTAAGATCATACAGAATTTTAAAAATCTGGTTATCAGATGAAGGCTCAGATGCTTGTATTTAAGGAAATACACAGCAAGGCAGGCTTCTGGAGAAAAAGCTACAAGAGAAATACACATACTGAACTATATGTAATGGCACAGTGTTCTCAGCTACTTCCTGCACAGTTATGAATTTTACATATTTAATCTTTGAAATGGTTAATGACTGTCATTCTACAAAGCAAGTATGTGCCAATGGTTCCACACACCATCTCCCATCTCACTGCCCAGCAACCTGTATACTTGGTTCTACAACTAAATAAATAAAAATAAAAAAATAAATAAAAAAAGACTGATCCAAGCACAGAAGAGCCTGTGTGGTCTCATGAAAGATATAGTCAGGACTCAGTACACCGAAGGCCTTGATAAAGATGGCAGCACTGGGCATCTTGGAGAAGACGCCTTTGCTAGAGCTTCAGTGAGCATGAGTAAGCCTTGTAAAGGTGACAAGAGGAAAGGCTTTCGAGGCAGAGGGAGAAGTCTAGTGAAGCCAGAGGTTTTTAAGTTAACTGATTCACTGAGGGGGAAGGAGGGAATTGTGGGGTACAAGCAGGCAAATGGAGCATTCAGGCTGAGGTAACATTAAGATAGAAATGTAGGCAAAAACTATATCTTATATTGCATGCTATTTTGAATTCATTTATTTATTTGGTAGGTCAGAAATAGGGACCCAATCAAAGACTTCGTGCAAAGAAGGGGCAAGAAGAAGGCTAAGTTTCCATTCTAGATGGACCACTTTAGTAACTCTCCATGTGAGAGCAGGTGCCAGACTTAGCAAGGAAGCATGTCATTAGAAAAGGTTGCCTCCTGAAAAGATGCTCCCTTTTCAAAGTCCCACAATCAATTGAAAAATCTAGTAAATAATTTACTTCATAAGAGATAAAGCAATTATGTTGTGTTCTGAAAAGTCACTTAGTACCCAAGGAAGGCAGCTTAGGGATAAAAGCACCAATGTTTTAAGGGATGGGGAAACTCAAGATAGGTTTAAAGGTAGGATCACTGAAGACTTAAATTTTGTTCAAAGTAGAAAACTAAAGGCCTACTTTGAAAGGGAATAATCTATATATATAAGATTAAGCGACTGCCCAGCCGTCGGTCCAGTAGCTATGACACACACTGACCACCAGGAGGCAGATACTCAATAAAGACCTGCCAAGCTGTGATGACTGGGCAGAGGGGGTTCTCAGAACCAGAGAGAAGGGAGCCCGATTCCAGGGTGTGTCACCCAAGAGCTACCCTCTCACAGGCACCCCTCGGGGGATGTTAGAGAGCCAGTTTTGTCCTGATCTACACAGGCCAGGCTGAGAGACCCCACCTGCTAGAGGGACCTGCCCACTCTGCAGAAGCCCTTCGAGCCCTGGCACCATCCTAAGTGTGGCCGGCTGGGGAGGGACCAAAGAGGTTGACTCCAGGGCGTGTCTGGCCCATCTCACCCAGTCCTGCCCCGCTGGTCACCTTCTAATTAATTTGCTTTCGATGTGCATGGATCCAGGCACTAGGGCACTAGTTAGTGTATAAAGGAAGAAAGGACACTGCAGAATACAAACTTCACAAATGGGTACTAATTACTACAGATTATGCTTTACCAGGCCAGTACAAAAGTGCAAATGTAGCCAGTTAGCTGTTTTGAAAATTGTGTATTTGTTCTATTATAGATACTTTTTTTTTTTTTTAAATCATTATCCAAGGATAGATTGGTTGCCTCCTGAAAGAGGCCCCAGACTGGACAGGGATCAAAGCTGTATCTGAGGTTTGCCCACTTGACTGGGAATCGAACCTGCAACCCCTTGCTCCATGAGCCAATGCTCACTCCAGCATTGAGCCAAATCAGCCAGGGTGATTTTCATATAATTCTTAGTGGTGTTGTAAAGAAATCCTTATGAACATCACAGGTTGATTTTCAAGGTCTTAGGTCTGAATCAGATTGGAAGGGCTACTGTGGTCTTAGATGTAATAGTTGTTGTGTAAGCACACAGAAAATGAAAAATGGTTTTGCTGGGTTTTATTATGTATAAATGTTCTGTTACATTGATGTATCTCACTGAAAGATAACAAGAAACTTTTATTCAATTTTAAAAACCTGTTAACCTAATCCTTATACCTCCTTCCTCCACTACTTCAAATAACTGTTGATACTAAAAAAGTAAACATATTCAAAATATTCACTTAACCCACTCAACAGTTGATTTCTTATACCAGATTTATTACACTCTGAAATACAAGCTACGTTTTTACAAAATAGAAATTCCTTGTGTGAGTGGAATAAATTATATTTCTGTATAAACTGAATATACTGACTTGTTTTATGAATATTTATTTTATATAAATGGTCAATTTTTTTAAAGTTAACTGATTTACTGAGGAAGGAGGGAGTTAACAAAAATCTACATGCATAGATAGTCATAGCAGTGTATCTCTAACACAAAGGTATAAATTTGAGAGCCAATGATGCAAACTTTAGCAAAAACATTTTACAAGAAGAATGAGTTTTGGTGTTTATAAAAGAAAGCTGAACTCCTATTAAAGGACTTTTGTACATATATGCATGCTCATATTCTATACGCATACACATTTCACTTTTTAAAAGCCCAATATTAGAATCAAATTTACAGAACAAGTTAGTGTTCACTGATTTTTAACAATAAAAGGACTCACCACAGCTGTTAAACTGGTTATAACAAAAAGTAATCAACTTACATATGGTTTTTAGGTATTTACTATGTAAAGGTCAGTAAGTATATCTGTATATACATTTATGAATGTATACCCTAAATCTAGCAAATAGCTGATATGATTTTCAAGCTTGGCTGACTAAACCTTTTCTACATCTTAATTGCTTTTAAATCAAATATACCAAGTCGGTCTTCATTAGGCTGAGTGATGAAAACAGATAATGGAAATGGAAATAGTATACCCTCTCTCTTAAGCTATAACCAAGTCCCTAGGTTTAAACATCAAATTATTTTAAAAGCAACATTTGTTCACAAAGTTCTTTCTAAGATTTTAGTAATAACTTTACAGATGTTATGTTACAATCCTGTTCTCTTTGGGTCTGCTCCTTTACAAACATTCTCTTCCTATCAAATCCTATAATTGAACCAGAACCCTTTATTCTCATCTCATGGCTATACAAATTCTAATGGCAACTAGAGAACTTGGAAGGAATAAAATCTACATACATACTTAAAAAACACACACTAGCTTCTGCAAATTTAATTGCAATTATTTAAACACACACACACACACACACACACACACACACACACACACCCCCCAACATGATTTCTGTGGCTTCCTGGCCTTGACCCTTTCATGGTGTGGATTTAATTGCTACAAATTGTCTTTTCATATGCCTACATTCCATTATCCTAGACCAGTGGTCAGCAAACCACTGCTCATGAGCCACATGTGACTCTTTGGCCCCTTGAGTGAGGCTCTTCCACAAAATACCATGCATGGGCGAGAACATACAGTGCGACTGAAACTCATGGCCCATGGGCAGACGTCGGTTTTCAGCCTGGGTGAGTCTGTTTTGAAAAAGCGGCCAAAGAGCCGCATGTGGCTCATGAGCCGACTGCCCTAGACTATTATCCATCTTTTTATAATGAATTAGTGTGAATGAAATTCATTGGGGGTGGGGGAGAGAGG